TAATTAAGCGTATATGTATAGTTTATCGAATCTTTTATATCGCATTTAAATTGTAGATGTTTGTCTTCATTAATTATTTGTATCATCATTTCATCATACTATTAATTATGATAGTATTTATGATGCATTTTCTAATAATCTCATACAAGTCTAGTGCATAAAAAATAATTACATAATAAAAATCAACATAATATGTTGAAACAAAAGATACAAAAAAATGTTCTTCTCGTAAATGTATACACAAATATATAATGAATGATATCCTCAAATTCAAGTAGAATGGGAAGAAAAATGAGGATAATTTACCTGTGTATCTGAAGAAATTGCAGTCTCTCCACTGGTAGACGTAATGTTGGATGTGTATGTGACCCCACGTAATGCCTGTCCAGGAGTTACTGATCTAGCGATCCCAGTAGCTATAAGAAAAATTTTAGTAGCTTTTACAGATCCTTATAAACGTTACTATTTGACTTTTATAAATGCCTATGTTAAAAATATGTACAAATTGTACGTAATTTTATACAAAGAAAACGCAATGTAATACAAAGGATAAGTAATACTCATATTAACACTATATATGCATAATATACTATGATATTATGAGTATGAACTTCAATTACCATTTAATTTTGTAATCAACTGTGAATATGTAATTTGTTAATTCATCCATCGTTACACGAGAGGAATATTCTCTTAGAAAAGAGAATATATATATGTATGTCCAAAATATTTTAATTGTGTATATACTATTTCAATTTTAGAGTAAGATGAGCTGTTCTTACTTGGACCGCTGACAGGAACACTAGATACCGTGGCAGTGGGCTGAACAACTTTGCTACTAACCATTGGCGTCCCAGTGCCCAATACTGTGCCTTTAACTGCATATAAAATATAACTTTAAACGATCAATTCAATAATCACACTAAATATAATAACACTCATATATTACTTTTCGTTTGCTACAAATATATCAAACAGTAAAATTGAATTATATTAACTATCATTTCATATTATGCATTAGTAACATTACATACTTGTTTGTGGAACACTAGCAGGCCTAATTGTAGGTATAGCAACTAAGTTAGCTGGCTTGACTGGAGGAGGTGGTGGAGTTGTACCCACTCCTCTTGGAGAGCCACGTGTTTGAGATTCTTTTAACACGTCCATTTCATTTCTAAGTTTTTCTAATTCTAATTCGAGATCTTTCACCCTCTTTTCTTCTTTTGCTAAAGCTTGCCTATACTGCTGCCTTTCCATATCAAACTGTGCCAGTTGTTTTTCTAATTCTGCTTCCATCTGTAAGGACTTCTTACTTTCTTCTTCAAGTCCTTCAGCCATTGCATCTATTCTCACTTTTTCCTCACTTAATATCTGTGTCAAATCCTCTGATCTCTTTTTTTCCTCCACATACTTTATGTGTAACCTTCTACTTTCACTTGACAGAGCACGTACTATTCTCTGGTGTAATGATTGCTCTGAGTCTTGAGTTTCAGTTATTTTCTTTAACTTTGCTTCCAGGCCTTTGTTGTATTGTTTCTCTACTTCTAATTCTTTCTTCAAGCGTGTCCTATCTTTTTCAAGTCCATATGTAATATCGTCACCTTGGGCAGTATCGTGTTCATGTTTCCGTTTCTCTTCTTCTAATTCTTTGACTACCTAAAATGAAATAAATGAAGGTTGTACAAGAAAAACATTATTCATAACATAAAAAAGTCATAAATCTGAAATGAATAACATACTGCTCTGTGTCTAAGTTCAGCATCTTGAAGAATTTTAGTCATCCTGGACTTCATACGCCTTTGTTGTTGTACAAGTGCTTCTAAACTAGCAACTTGTTGATGTATCTGATTTGATTCATGTCCCATTAATCCTATGTCTCCTATTAACCCCATATCACGAATAAGTGCAGCATGTGGATCTGTGCTTTTACTCATATATTGAGCTTGTAATAGATGTTTCAATTTCTCTGACTAAAAAATGCACATAAATATGAAACTTAACAAAAATATTAGTTGCTTTCTAAATAAAGTTTTATATTATTTTAAAGTCACTTGCTAGAATCATATTATTAGTTAATTGTAGAAAATAACTTTACCTTTAATACTGCTATTACAATATCTCTTGCTTGTAATTCTCCTTCAAGATGTCCTAACAACTTTAATAAATCACTTTTGCTCAGTTCCATTTTTGGATTACGCTACAAGAAAAATTTAAGAAATTACCACCAAGAAAATTATCAATTGATATATAGATTATCTTATAATATATGCAGGAAAAGAAT